TTTTCCTCTACTTCATTTCTACATATGAGGCAGGATGACTAAATGGAATATACAGTAGGAAACATAGGGTTACACATCATTCCCACTCTGTTAGCAGGAATCAAATCAAGTTTTAGTAAATAATTTAAAATGGGCTACAAATAGATTTTCTTAATATTACAAGGCATCTACAGGCTATAAATTTTTGCCATCTTTCTAACATGAAAGATGCAGCCAGATACTCATATCTCTAACAGATGGAGATTTTCCTAGAGCTAAGCCTCTGGGCTTTCTTCAGGCTCATCCCCCCCACCCATGCTACCCAACTCTCAGAATATAAACAAGAAAGAATACCCTGCATTCTCTGATTACCAGTTCTAATGGCCAGTGCTCAACTGCATTATCTTACTCACACAGAGCTCAGACAGATTGTTATAAAATATTTCAATAGCTATTAACCTAAATGATGGATCCTTATTTTAGCCTCCCTATTTGGATACCAACTTTTAACAACCTAGGCAATATTTATCTATACTAACTATATTTTCATGTATACCAGTGTCATATTGAAATTAATTGGGAAAGTTTTGTTTGTTTATTTTATTCATTCATCAATTTTCTTAGCCATATGATTCTAGAATGACTCTGGGCAGCTAATTAGCAAACATAATGGCGCTTCTTTGAGGGTATCAGTGTGATGAAAGAACACCCACTGATGGTTACAACATTCATACTCAGCTATATGAATAATGTTTCTCTGCATTGTATATGGGATAGAGAGAAAGGAGGAGGTAAAATACAGAAAGAAAGAGAAATTCCTAACAATCACAGGAATTGGGAAATGGAACCTATTACATGGAGACATTGCAGAATCTTTCTCAGTTATTGTGTTCAGGAAAAAGCTGGACAGCCACCTCAAAAGGATGCTTTGAGTTGGATTCTTGCAAAGATAATAATATAATTGTGCCTTCCCACTTCTTAATTCTATGATATTAGGTACAAGACAGAATCTCATGATGGCAGAATCTTTCTCCCTAAACCTAAACAATTCTATAGCTCTTACATTTTTGCAGTCTTTTGTTCTGTTTCTTACAACTCCTACTGGAAAAATATATAGCATTCCAGGTAGCATGCAGAAGATAAGAGTTTGCAAAATAGCATAGAGGTGCACAGTTTGACATGCAGAAAAGAAAGATACACTATAAAAGATTAAATAATTTGAGGTTACTGATGCCATGTTAAATAAACAGAATACTCTTAGAAGTTATAACAATATAGTTGCATACAGTTAGAAATGTCACCTATTTGATTAGAACTTTCCCCCCTCTATATGTACTTCAAAAGTCCAAGAAATGAAAATACAATATAAAAAATGGCTGAATTATCTAACATGGCATAGTATTCATTGTGGTGTTAAGATAAATATAAGCCACCTCACGTAGATAAGCATCCAAAATATTGTGTATGTTCTTTTTAAAGCCAGCTGAACTTAAACCAAGAAGATATTGGAAACTGAAACCAACTGATCCAGACAATATAAGACTAGATGCAATAATCCATTCCAGCCTCTTCGGGATACAAAAATAATATATCTGTTAGATTAAAGGAATAAAGTGCTCTAGAGTGTTTTCAGGCACTTGAGGAAAAAGACAAAAGTTCCCTTTTTTCATTTAGAATTGTGGAAAGGATCACTTCATAACTAATTACCAGTCAGGTTTTGTATCTAAAATCTTATAGTGCTGAAGAGCTCACACAGACCTTAGCAACAGTGCCTCCAGGGCAACAAACTGCTTTCCTAGGTAGATTACACGGACCAAAGAAACTATTTTGTTTTGCCCTCTAGCTTCCTATGTACAATTTGTGTCATGGTGAAAGGCAGACAAAATCATCTTGCACTTCCTGACTTTGAAAAGTTGAACGTTGAAAACGTGAAACTGGAAATAGAAGAAAAGAATAAACTTCTTTTTTGTCAAAGGGGAATGTGCAAGTATTTTAAACCATTTTAAAACCAAAGAGGCGAAGCCAAAAGCTTTGTTCTATAGTTGGATACTTCATTAATTTTTCACTTTTGAAAACAGCACTGAATTTTATTATGCTATGGATGTTTAAAGTAAATTTAAATGGAACATTCGCACGTACCTATAACTACTTTTAATTAAACAAGTGAAAGAATACCATACTCTAACAGTAAAATTTCTCCAAGACTTCTACACCTTCAGAATGCTTTGTATCTCTGAAATTGTTTAAACACAAAAATCCCAAACACAGCCTGATTTGTCCAAAGATATTTCACTTCACATCCTAAATCTATGTAAATAAAATAAACTAATAACCTTTTAATTCTCAATTTCTTCCCATTTCTCACAATGCTTCTCAAACATTAAATGTCTAAACATTTTTCAGTTTCTTTTACATAACTGAACAATTAGATTTTAAAAATCTTCAATATAAACCTAATAAAAGAAACTAAATACAGTTAAATATTACTTGTAATGTTTTAAAATCAGGTCTATGCCATATGTTCCATCTGTGATTATGAATGCAACAAACATTTTGTATTAGCTCAGCAAAACTGGAAACTAAATTAGTTATGTGTACTTTTTCAGCAAACTAACCTATATTTCTTTCAAATGAAATTGATACTCAAGACACACAACGCAATATCAAAATTAAAATTGTCCTACTCCTGCTTTATTAGACAAAATTTGCTTTTAAAAAAGTGAACCTATTCAAGTAAGTGCCTTTAATAAATGTATGCTTGTCTCTCTCCTAATTATTAACTTTAATTTTGTAACAATGTTAGTGATCTTTATCTACTTTAGTACTTTCAGCACAGAAGTTTTTATCATTTAAAATGATCTCTGCATACATAAAAAATATGTAGCAAATTTTCAATGGAAAGGTATCAGGTTAAGGTTGCATAGATACAGGTAGTCTTTTAATGACCATTCAAAGTTACAATGGTTTTGGAAAGGATGTATTACAGCCCATAAAGTACTTCCAGCCATAGTAAACATCATGGCATCCCTCCACTGCATGGTCATGAGATGACTGTTTTAGTTACGACCAGTTGCCAAGCACTCATGGTCATGTAACCACCATTTATAATCTTCTCTGCTCGCTTCCCCACTGAATCAATGGGGAGATGACAAGGAAGAGTGCAAGCTGCTGAGAGGACTCTCTCTCATCTCTGAGCGCTGGCTGAAAAAGCTACCTGCTAAAAGAGCTGAACTTCTTTGCCAGGGTAGAGAAACAGCATTCAGATCTTTAGATGTTTCTGCACCCTGATAAAGACATTCCCTTCTACATGTAGATGGAAGCTGAAATTCTTTAGTAGGCTGGAGAAATGGAGCATTTACAACTAAGACTAACATTAAGACTTTTAACATACTTCCCTCCATCTGTTTTATATGCCATAGTTGGATTTTCTAGATCTTTTTCCTTTAGAGTAAAATGCTACTTAATCTATTTTTTTCCAGCTGAAGTAGCCCCTCCATATATAAACTTTGGTGACTTATCACCAAATTTAACCCATTAGCTAAATATTATTTAAATATGCTTATCAAGCCTACCAAGAGCTTGATAAACATATTGTTTCTGTTGTTTTCGGGAAGATATCAAACTAAACAATTTATGAATTCCACTGATAGTAAAAAAAAAAAAAAACAGCACAAGACCTACCTGGAAAGTCACTAAATAAAAGCCAGAGAAATGTGAGAGGGCAGAAGAGGTAAACTGAAGTCCCATGTGTCCAATTAAATTAAAAGTGTAGAAAAATAAGGAAGAGTAAGATAATGACATGAGTAATTATCAGATGTCCAAAATAACTGGGAGGGAAATCTGACCTGGAATAAAATTGCTTAACACATTGTAAGCCGCCCTGAGTCTCCGGAGAAGGGCGGCATATAAATCAAATTAAAAAATAAATAAATATGTGAGGTAGAATACCTGATCTCAACTAAAAAATATGGTTTTCCACATCAAAACAATGGTGCTTTGTACTAAAAGTGAAATCAACGTTAACTGATACCTTGGATATCAATTGTCAAAGGAACAACAGTAGCATTAGGAAAAACTTCTAACTGAAGCTCTGGAGCACTGCTTCTTAAAGTAGACATGTTGAATGATGTCTAAAGCTCTCTGCTACTATTCATGTAAAGGTAACAAGAATAGAACTATTTGAAGTCTGTAAGCTGTGGTCACATTTTGAATACTTTAGAGTCTGCTATGTGGATCAAAATTTAAAACTATTTGAAAATGTCTTTCTTATTGAATCATTTTTAAGATTTACCATAATCTGTGGTATAGAGACAGCACAGCAAATAAGTGTTAATTTAATATAGAAATAAAAACTTTCCATTTTCTTCTTACAACTGCAATGAAGGCGATGGGATGAAGAAGCCAAGAGAAACACTAGAAATAATTAAGTCTTAAATCTTAGCATAATTGTTTGTTCCCTGGTGATAAAAAGAAAAAATAATTTCCAGAAAATACTAATAAAAATGCACACTGCTTTACTTTTTATAAGAATAAAATCCAAGCTCCAGAAACTCATATCAAGGTGTGTATGGTCAAGTTTGATTACTAAGATTTTCAAAAAGTTGCAAAAAAATATATGTGCTGTATTCCTCAAATATGAACTTCTATCATGGGAACTGCAATTAACTGCTCCATTAAGTTATGCATGCCTTTGCATGGCACCATGCAAAGCTGGATTAACTCTCACTCACCTTGGCTAGAGAACATACCTTCTGGGTGCAGAATGTCAGGCAGAAGTTCTCCTGTTCCATTTGAAGGGACTATAAAGGAAATCCTCCACACACATACGCCATTCATTTGCTAGTTCTAATGAAGCTTTCACTAAAACACTTGAGATGAAAGACCTGAGAATTAGCCCTTACAAAGGCTTGGAGACAGCAACCAAGACAATATGGGCAACATTAGGAAGAGATCTGCTAAGAAATTAGCAGCATCAGAAGGTATCAGTAGCATAACCTAATAAAAGTTTTTTCTTTTCTTAGAAACCAAGTGAGTCTTGGAAAAGTGAGTCAAGAAAAATTGTTGGGAGAATTGGTAAGTGTCTTTACCAAGAATGAAGCAACACATGTGAGGAAGGAAGTGGACCACTCTAATACATTCCAACATTATTTGTTAGATGGCAAATCTGCATCATGCTTGAAAAAGACAGCAATAGTACTTAGACTTATATACCTCTCCATAATGCTTTACAGCATTCACTGGGCAGTTTACAATGTCATCATATTGCCCTCAACCATATGGGTCATTTTACCAACATCGGAAGGATGGAAGGCTGAATCAACATAGAACTAGTCAAGGTCAAACTCCTGACTGTGGACTTAATACTGCACTGACTTAAATACTGCATTTAAGCATTGCATCACTAGGGCTCTTATTGAGGGATGACAAACAGAAAGTTCTTATGCATAGAAATATCTTACACCTGGTTCTTTTTCTTTTTGAAAGAGAAAATGAGAGATCATTCAAATGGAGCAGTAACTTTCCTTCTTTTAATGCCTGTACAAAACTAGAAATTTTGTTTAAAGGCAGTAAGGAATTGTGAATGCCAATATGTCATTTGACATCTTTTACAGAAACTACCTGAGAAAAACACAGTCTTTCTCAAAAATTAGCAAGACATACTAATAAATACAATAATGAGTCAGAAAAATTAAAAATGGAAAGATGGTGGATGTATTGCAAATACTATAAGAAAGCAAGAAAATAGGAGACTCATTTTCTGGCACATTTCTGGGAGTTCTACAACCCTGAGGTAGAATATATTCTTTGCATGCAAGAAGGCTGCCTCTCAACTCATCCATACGATTTTTTTTCCAAACAGATTTCCAGTTCAGTTCAGTTAACAGAGCCACATGACAACTTTAAGGAGATGTTTCAGATCATTAATAACTGGCCTGAACTGCAATTCTGAACTTTTAAAATAATGTTTATTATTCAATTATATTTCATATTTAACTTTCCATTCCTACAGTGCTGCAGCCAATCCATCCTTGTTTTCTTAGAAGCCAGTGGGGTACCAAACACTTAGTTGTAAGAAAACTAATGATGCTGCAGTGATCTTGGCAATTATTTAGGTATGCTATAAGAACCACAGTTTTCAAGATTCCTATAACATTTTTACCTATCTATGGCATCCTTGCTTTGGCCATATCAGAAAAGACTCATATCTACCAATACCATGCAGCTGAGCAATGATATAACACTTATCCAACTATTAATACACATAGTTTAGAGCTTGGTGAAGGGTTTTTTTTTTTAAAGACTTAGGTAAATAAAGTAAGTAAAACCATTATTTGAAGCTCTTTTACAAATGTGGTGGCCACATGGTTTAATGATTTATATTCTGCATCATGTTGAATTCTAGATCATTGTTCTGGCATAAACAGAACTCTTCCTATTGGTTGCTACTATTAACGCATATCAAACTGCCTCATCAAGATGAAGCCTGCTGCCTCCGTAGCATTAAATGTTAAAATGCTTCAGGACTACAAAGTGTAATCCTTTCACTTACACTACATCTAATCCTCCATGGCATTTAGCATCTACATGGAACTTTTAGGAGGCTAACTAGAATTTTGGTGTGCAATGTCATTTGTCCATTCAAACAGAACCACAGAGTATTTTATTATTTTATTTTATTTTATTTTATTTTATTTTATTATTTTATTTTATATTTATTTATTTTATTTATTTATTTTATTTTATTTATTTTACTTTACTTGCTTTTATTTTATTTTATTTATTTTTTATTTATTTTATTATTTTATTTTTTATTTTATTTTAATTTGTCAAGTACGTATTAGATAATATATATAAATATAAGCATGAATTAAGTACATAAAATGAATACAATTAAAGGGAACATTAGGACAGGGATGGTAGACATGCTGGTGCTCTTATGCACACCCTTTACTTATGGGTAAGTAATTCACAGTATCTTAATAACAACAACAACAACAACAATAATAATAATAATTTATATTATTATTATTATTATTATTATTATTATTATTATTATTATTATTATTTAATATTATTATTTATTTATTATTATTAAAAATAAATAATAAATAATCATATTAATTAGTAAGTCTTATTGGTAAGAAATGGAATAACCAACATTCTAGCAGCCGTGGACAAGTGAAATTTGTTAAGGTGGAGTCTCTGAGAGCTGTTTGATCATCTTTTTCCCAGAATGCAAGATCAAGGACAAGACCCAATCCCTTTTCTAGATGTGACTAGAAAATTTTCATCTCCTGATTGTTAACTGTGTTTTGAGCTACTCTTTTTTTCCCCCTCTCTTCTCCAAGATCTCTTTTATACTGTGTATATGCCATTGACATCTAGCTCTATTTCTCTATGCTGCGTTTTCAAACCCAGTCCTCAACTGTCTCTGCACTGATTTGCTCTTGTCCCCATTCCACAGAGAAGCAAAAAGAAGTCTAAAATAATTATTTCTGAAAAGAAGGGGCAGGAAGGAGAGAGAGATTGCTCAGTATTTTATACTGAAAACGTTACTTTAAATGTCATCAGAACCCTGTTTTGCCTTGTATGTACAAAATATATTTTTTTTCTGGGTTTTATGATTAATACTGGTTGCGCATGAAAATGTTTCATAGAACAGTGAATCAGCTTTGCAAAGCTTCATCAAAATCAAATAACCCATGTACTTCATCCTTCTGCATATGACAGCACTAGAAAATAATAGAATTCTTCTGCGAGTCAGGCTGTTCCCAGTATAACAAGCTTAGAAATGTGAACTATCACTATGCACAGACAAATTATCAGTCCTATTTGAACAGGGATTATTTGTGCGCTACCACTGGGGAAAATGCCACTGCAACTCGTTTTCTTTTTATAAGAGTATTTATTTGTTAGATTTTTATTTCACTTTTCCACCAAGTGTGCAAGCATAACAACAGGCATTTTTTCCCCCCATTATATCTGCACAACCGCAATCTCGTCAGGTAGGCTTGAGTGTGAGAGTGACAGGCCTAAAACCCCCACTGCATTTCAATGGCCAGACTCTCCCTGATCCTAGCCTTAATCTCTACACCATACAGAACATAAAAGCTTGTTCATCTGTGATGCTCACTATATCCAGACAGCAAGCTAATCAAGATGCGTATATAGATATGATTCCCAAATATCTCCAAAGTAACATTCTGCCAAAGTTATCTAAATCTAAATTATTATTTTATTATCCCCTTAAATATTGAGCACACTAAGAGGCAGAAGGGAAAGGCAGAATTGCACAAAATTCAGTACTGTCACCAAGGACATGAGGAAAATCAGCAAAAAATATGGGAAGAAGTCACTAACTTTACAAAACATCTAGATATTATTTCTTTTATGAAAAGGGGGTGGGATAATAGTAACTATTGGAATAAATAAAACAGCTTCTTTCTTAGAGAAATTGACATTTCAAATATACAGATTATCAGTCTCTCTGCTAGCATATAAACCAGTGGTGAAATCCAACTGGATTTATCCAGTTCGTGCGATCCAGTAGGGGCAGCAGTGGGAGGCTCCGCCCACCTGCTTGGACATCATGACATCCTGTTTTTGACCTTCTGTGCATGTGCAGAAGGCTCTGTGCATGCGTGGAGGAGGCTCATACACTCAAATTTGCGATCCGGTAGCGAACATAAATTATTTTACCCCTGATATAAACCCTGTTTGATTCTACAGGACTTTCAACACTGTAAAATGTTTTCTCACACTCTTGAGCACGTAGATGTGACTGGACTCAAATGTGGGAACTCCAAGTTTAATAACTCAGAAGATGACCATTAATTAAATATGTTGAAATTATGAACTTGACTGATAATTGTTTGTAAATCTCTAACTGCAATATAACCTTATGGGAGACCAGCTAAATGACAATTAAAGGATTGGTGCACTTTTGCATTACTGGTTGAATCATCCATATAAAAAAGAAGCAGACAGTTTGGAAGAGTGACAGAGAGTGGGAGAAGAGTGGTCATGAAAAATGATTGGTATTGCTGTAGCATATACAATTTGAACCTGGCAATGCATCCTCTGTATAAAATAGCATCACTGAAATTTCTGAAATTATGGTATTCCCTTGTATAATAATGTGTGTGTGTGTGTGTGTGTGTGTGTGTGTGTGTGTGTGTGTGTGTATGTAGGTAGGTCTTTGGTTATTCAGGTTTTCTCCCACGTAAAATTGGAAGTGTCTTGGCGACGTTTCGACGAAGTCTCATTCGTCATCTTCAGGCTGGTGTTTTTGGCTTCATGCTTCTAGGATATATATATATTTTTGTACATATATTGCTCCTAGAAGCACAAAGCCGAAAACACCAGCCTGAAGATGACGAATGAGACTTCGTCGGAACGTCCCCAAGACACTTCCAATTTTACGCGGGAGAAAACCCGAATAACCAAAGACTTACATATAAACACCCGTGAAAACCTCAGAAAACATATATATACATATATATATATATACATGTGTGAGTTTGTGTGTGTGTGTGTATATGTATATGTATATGTGTGTGTGTGTGTATATATATATATATGCAAAAAATTAATATCTCAGGTGTTTTCCCGCGTCATTATAAATAAGTTGGTTAAAATATTTAAAATCCTAATTAAAATCCCAGCTTAAAATCTTCTAAAAATCCTTACAGAGCACTCTGCAAGATCCTTTAAAACCTCAGCTAAAATCCCACCAGTGACTTTAAAAGTTTTTCTTAAAGTAACGTTTCAACAGGCTCACAACCCTGTCATCTTCAGGCTCTGTTTCATGTAGAAGCTATGGATTCTCTGTTGCGGGGCCGGAGCTGTCGCTTATCTATATTTGCTGCTGCTGACGTATGCTGGCTAGCCTGCAACTCTGTGTTCCGAGTGGAGGACAACAGTTTTTCTTCCTGCTTCCTCCTCCTAGTTGCTTGGCTTCGTGTTACAGGCCCAGCTTTCTCAGATTCTCTATTATTATCTGTCTGCTGTAGAGGGGAAAGGATTCTGGTAGGCATCACAGCACCCTTGATTGTTAGTTGAGATCTCAGCCT